TATTCTTTTTGCTATTCCTTATTCATATTTTATATGCATTCATCTACATGAATGAATTGCTTTACATAAAAGATATGAAGCAAAAAAATAAATAAATTAAAATTGAAAACCTGGCCCCATGACCACTAAAATTGGTAAGGATCTAAACAAAGGAAATTCAAAGTTGTTCTGGAGGAATGCTATCATAATCTGGAATTTAAAGGATTTTCACAAAGAGAATTCCCACTCAGGTAGAACTAAGAATAAAAACATACAAACCACTACAGAAAATAAGCCACCATAAGGAGTTTGCTTTTGCAACAAAAGAGAAATAATGACCCTGAAACAGAATATAATAGAAAAAATTTAAATAAGTTTAAATAATTAAAGAGGAAAGGTGAGATAGAGAAACTACAATATATAAATAGGTCAGTTTAAAGTAAGAGAAAGTAGATTTGTTTAAAAAAAAGTAAATTTTCTAAAAATGAAATATAGCCTTTGGGATGATAACTCAGTACAGATATTAAACACTGGATTAGCAAAGATTTTAGGAAAGAATTAGTGAATTAGAATATAGATTTGAGGACATCATCCAGAAAATGAAAAAGCACGTGTCATGTGAACACAGTTAAGGCACATGAATGATAGAAGGAACAATTCTAATATACATCCAAAAGTAAAGACTGGAAAAAGTGGAGAAAAGCTAAAGATTTACAAATTGAAAACTTCAGGTAAAGAAAGCACAATAAATAAAACTCATAATTTTACACTGATACCCAATCAGAAAAAGTCATTAAAAATTTTCTAATCAATATCTCATGAATATCAAATAAAAAATTATCACAAAATTTTAACAAGTTGAATATAGCAATTTTTATAGAAAGGAGAATATAAGATGACCAAATAAAATTAATGCAACAAACAAAAAGTGGTTTAATATTTGAAAAATCAATCATTGTAATACACGATTGTATTTTCTTTTTAAAATCAATAGTTTTAAAAAGAAAAACTATACAACCATTTTAATAGAAGCAGAAAAAGCATTTGACAAAATGAAAAATGTTCATTCATGGTAGAAAGTCTGAGAAAATTAGGACTGAAACTTCCCTAACCTGATATAGGACATCTATTAACTCTACAGGACAGAGTTGTTGAAATACCAAATGCCTCCCCCATATGATTGCAAAGGAGACTATGATTTCTACTTTCACTGTTCCAGTTCAATATTGTAGTGGCAGTCTTAGCCAGTGTGATAGCACTAGAATTGAAATACAAGCCATCCAGATTATATTTACAGTTTCACATACAGGTTTCAAAAAGTTCTATCTATATATTCATATGCTTCTCAGTACCATTAGTTCAGGTTTTTGAGTTTATTAATATTTTATTAGAATAATAGAAAATCATAAGATAGATTTCTTTAAAGTAGTTTATAATTCAGAAAATTAAATTCTTATGACTTCCTTCACTTAAACAGAATTAATCTTTTCTTTTGTTTACATTTTTTTCTGAAAACTCTCTTATGCCCTCTGCTGTCCATTTATTGAACATAAATCAATAAAATTCATTTAGATGATAAAAAGTCTTCAATTGAGTCAGTCTTAGGGAACAATATATGCTGAGAAATATATTTAATTTTTTCCCTTATTGTAGTAAGCAATATATGACACAGCTATACCTCCTTGGTATTTATTCTAAAGAGCAAAAGTCAGCATAGTATAGAAATACAAGCATATCCATGTTTGTAGCTGCACAACTCACAATAGTCAAACTATGGAACCTGCCTCGGTGTCCATTGTCAGATGAATGAATAAAGAAAATGTAGTTTATTTACAGAGTGGAGTTTTATTCAGCCATAAAGAAGAATAAAATTTATCATTTGCAGGAAAATAGACAGAACTTGAAAACATTACTTTAAGTGAAATAAGCCAAACTCAGAAAGTCAAGGATGGTATGTTCTCATATGTGGAAGCCAGAGAGAAAAAAGGTTGGAGAAGAGAGGAACCTCATGAAAACAGAAGGCAGACCAGTAGAGTAGAGGAAGAGGAGCAGGAGAGAAAGAGAGGAGGTGCTGGGGAATGAAACTGACCAAATTACATTTTTCTATTGCATACACATACAAAAATATGTAATAATGAATCTCACCATTATGTATAATTATAAAAAGGAAAAAGAAAAAACTTTTTTCTTATTATGTTAAATATGTTCACTATTGATAACATGAAAAAAATGTAATCACTCATAATCTCACTGCTTAGAGATAGTCACTATTATCAAGTGATGTATATCCTCTTTCTCTGGAATTATTTCTATATAATATAATTTTACATGAAATTCATTATTATTACAGAATTGGAATAATACTATATATACAATTTGGTATTTACTGTTTTTACTTAACATTTTGTTATGGAATATTTCCTTTACCATTTACTGAATTTCAAAATACAATTTTTAAATTATTGCAAAATATTGCAACCATTTACTAATTTAGGTAATGCTCTCTTTTGGAGGGGTGTTTAAATTGATGCAACTCTTTCCTTTTATAAGTAGCACTGTAAAACAAAATTCCTTGAACATTCCTTTTTCTAGGCTTACACTCCAAAAAGCACAATTTCTGGCCATAGATACACATATTTTTAAGGCTTTTCATGCTTATTGATGAAATGAAAAGTTTGTACTAATGCATATGAGAAGCATATGTTCATGACCATGGGAATGGCTTGTTTAAAACTGAAGAGATAAAAATATCTCGCAAGTAAACTACAAACAAGAATAAAACATTATATCTGATACTCTATTTATGAGGTGAATATTTTCTTCTTTTTTCAAAGGTATCAGAATGGTAAGAGGGACAGACCTTCTAACTGCTTAATCTTAATGTTTCTCAATCTGTTTCTTCAACTATAATGCAAAAAGAATAACAATTGTCCTCCAAAATAAAGAGTGTTTTGTGAGGATACTGTGAGAAGATGCAGGTGAACATGTTTTGAAAACTATAATGTCATACAGATGGAAGGTACATTTTTTATTAGTCACTACTGACATACAGATAGATTTCATACTCATTAGGCTGTTTTATGTGTAAATAACTCCTTAATATCTTATATTAATCTTATATTAATCTTAATATCAATAATTTTCTAAATTCTCAACCTCACATAATCATGAAGTATTCTCCATTTTATTAACTTTATTTCAAAATAGTGAATTTACTTCATTACATAGACAATTATGGCTCAACTGCCAATTCCATTAACTTAGTTTGTCTCCAAAAAGGAAAAATAACCATATAAGTAATTACTTATTGAGGATTCGTATTTTATCTAAAAATATCTAGCACTTCTGCAGCAAATTTGAGCACATTCTCAACTTGTTTGATCCAGTTCCCTTTTAAATTTTATTTTGAAAAATTTGAAACTTGAAATCAATGAATTTGCCTGTTGGTTTTCATAAAAAGATACTTTGAAGATTAATCTGAATAAATATGACCAAATTATTCATTCTGTGGGCCTTTGCAGAACCTAAAAGCTAGCACCTATCATGAGTCTTCATTAAATGAACAATATGGAGGGAGGAAGGACCAAGGACAGAAGAAAAGGGAAACTTAAGAAAGCGTTGAATTTTTAAAAAGGTGTTACCAGCAGAGAACCTGTAACTAGGACTTAGGAGAACTTTAATCCAGTCTCTCTTTCCACTCTACCACCATAGCTCCCAAGAACTCTGGTCACTGCACTTGGGTAAGGGCTACAATTTTTGAAGGCATTCATTTTCAGTACTTGTGTTTCATTAAACTTTATTGTTTGTTGGTGTCTTGGCTAAGGAATTTATGGGATGATTTGAAGAAGGAGAGAGAGGCAGAGAAAGAAGAGAGATCAGGCAGATAAGAAGGAAATAAGTCTCTCACCCCCACCCTCTTTTTTTACCTTCATAAAATAATAAAATAGAAAAGCAAGAGAGACCTTATAGAGTCATTTAGTACAATCCATCTTTACCTTAACATAGAAGAAACAGGACCATATGGCAGAGCCAGGAAAATAATCTGACCCTTAGATTTACGCTTTTTCCACCAAATCTGGTTGACCCTCTCCTTTTTAATATTTTATTTTTTTTACCTCAAACCGAGAATAATTTGTAATCCAAGAGATCAATGCTGTTCTCAAAATAAGTTCTGATCTCTCAAAACTGTCTTGGTTAGAATCAATGTTGTCCCTAAAATAAAAATACAGAACCTACATTGCAATTTGTAGACTGTGCATTATTGCCATCCTTTATCTCATTTGATCCTCTGAAGTAAGGCAAGGAAGATATCATTGTCCTTATTTGAAAAGCGAGCATTTTATTTGAACCCCAAAGACATCCAATGATTGGAGTAAGGTCACTTACATTAGGGAGAGCCAGGACTCTAACGCTATTCCTATACTCTCTTTGCCACAGAAGGAGTTTCCTTAAAAGGCACCAAAGTTACTCTATTTCTTGACACAGGATTCTCCATCCCAGGGGGGGAACCCCGCCCCCCCACGAACCCCGCCCCCCCCCCCACACCTCGCCTCCACACACACATACTAGTTTAGCGAAGTTTGGTTTAGCCACCCAGAGGGGACTTCTATTTTGCACCTAATTCTCGTCTTTTAGAAAGAGCAGTTTCTTACCCCTTCCCTTGGTCCTGATCCTTATTTAGGCTCCTAGTTTTCTTTTGGGGGTTTGACCTCCTGGATTTCACTCCAAAGCTCCGCCCTCTCCTGAGGAGAAGTCGCGTCCTTGGTCTCCAAGGTGACACGCAGCTTTACCCTTACCCCTCCCACTCTTTCCATTGGCCAGCAGGATTCTCATGTAGATTTACCCCCCCGCCTCCCGCCCATCCCTCCAATGGCCAATGGGTTTGACTTACAGGCCGCGCGCCGTTCTCAGAAGAGGCCAACACTCCAGCCCAGGACTCTTACTCTCCCACGCATTGCCTCCTGGGATATGTAGTTTTTAAACCGCCAGAACGTCTTGACGTCTGGCTTTTTCAGAACTACCTATCCCGTTGGCCTTCGCGAAAGGGGCGGAAGTAAGCTAGGAGTGTGCCTCTGAAATTTGTATTTACAGCTTTCAAATTCCGGTTTACTATTGCCCTGCCGATAAAATCTAAATCGCCAAGTGAATGGGCTTGCTCTAGCTTCAGCAAATCCTCCTTTTTGACTAGTAGCAGCTCGGTGCTTAAGTCGATTGGCCCTGGCAAGGGACGCCGCGGGTGTGGTTGAGGTGTTCCTAGGGAGGGCGAGAGAGGGGCAAGTCATGTTCGCCTCCAGCTCCGGCTGGAGACTTGGTTGCCTCACGCTTGGTCAGCTCCGAGTGTGGGCGGGTGCTGGGCTCTGGACCCTAAGGGCCTGCCAGGCCAGGCCGTACTGCTCAGCTGGTGGCGTGCAGCGGCTGGGATCCGAACCCGAGGCCTCTCTGCCTGGCCCAGCGCGCCGGACTCTGAAGGAGTGGACGCTGCTGGTTAGCCCATTTGGTCGGCTGCGGGTGCGGCTCCCTTGCCACCTGTCTGTGAGGCCCCTGGACCCCCTCACCTACCCCGATGGCAACCGCCTGCTGGTCGCGGTGTGCGGCGTGGAGGGCGGAACACTGGGCCTGAATGACCTGCAGGTGAAGTACGACGAGGCCCTGCAGGAGGTGGCCATTCTGTCTGACACCGTGGACCCCCAGGCGTCGGTGGAGGTGAACGCACCCCTGAAGTTTGGCAAGTGAAGTTTGGGCCCCAGAGCACAAACACAGTGACCTTAAATTAGACCAAGTTAGGCGAACGTGCATTTGCCTCTTTGAACTTGACTTTCTAACCTAATTTACAGTTGGCCCCTTTTCTTCTGCACTACTGAGTTCTGAGAAGTATTTAAGAATTAGGTTCCTAATGTAGTAAAAAATAAATAAATAAATGGATAAATAAATATCTGGAAGGTGCTGGGGGAGATTTGCCTATAGTACAAATAAGACTGAGTGTTTAAGTACAGCTAAGCAAAATTTATGGCAGCACAGATGAAAATAGATACTACCTTTGTTGATGATTCCAAACTTCATTATTTGTTGCTTTCTCTTTGTAGTGTCAGAGCTCTGCTTTTAAGTTACTGTTTCCAGTATCTAATCCCCAGTTCCCTCAAATCTCTATAATTTGGTTTTCTTCATACTGTTCCTTTACTTTGTCTATTACCTATTTCAGTGAATGGATGAAAGCAGCACTACTATCACTGTCTAGCTTTAATTTCTCCACCTACCTATCAAATGCAGTGTATCTGTGTCAGTCATCTTTCTGTCACTGTAACAAAATAACTGAAAGAAAGAAAGGAGGAAAGATTTACTTTGGTAATGGTTTCAGAGATTTCAGTCCATGGTCAGTTGGCCCCATTGCTGTGGCCCTGTGGTGAGGCAAAACATTATGGCAGGGAAAGGCATGGTGGAAACGAAGCTGCTCACCTCATCATGGCCAGGAAGTACACACAGAAAGAAAAGGGCTGGGGACAAGATAAACCCTTCACGGGCACACCCCCAGTGATCTTCTTCCTTCATCTAGGTACTACTCCTAGTTTTTCACTACCTACCAGTTACCACAAGCTGGGAGCCAATTCTTTAATACATAAGCCTTTGGGAGACATTTTAAATCCAAACTATAATATTATCTTTAGAATCTTTCTCTTCACTACATATTAACCTGTGCTGCCTCAGATCCAGGTATATGTTGTAACATTACTGGGAAATAAATTTTATAGTTATATTTGCATCCATGTTTATGTGGCATAAAATTACCTTTTTATATATTTTCACTTAATCTCAGCCAAAATATTGGTGTTATTTTAAGCCTTTACAGAGATTGCTCTGAAACTGTTTTTGTGCTGTAACTATTGAAATTGTGGCATTAGCCCCCAATAGTTTGTGTTTGGAGGAACACAGTGTTTACTTCTATAGTCTACATTAAGGAAAATCATCAATATTTATGTAAATTAAGTATTAAACATCAATGTTCTTAATTATTTTATTTTTATACAGAGATACCTAAGGTTATGCCTTAAATTGACAAAGATGGTACCTGTGATTCCTTATTTTCTAAACTTTCTTCACATAACACTCTTATTTATCCACAATCTTATAGTTTTAATACTGTTTAATTAAATTTTTCAAAGTGATTCTCATTTTTAAAAATTATTTCAAGTACTTTGTGATGTTTCTTCATGGCAATATTCTCAGTTTTTAAGGCTTGAAAGGTTCGAGTTAGGATTTGAAACCTAAATCATAATCTTATGTACTAATTCATGCTGCTCCTGTAATATGGCTTTAATTTGGGGGAGATGGTTAGAGAAGAATCTTTCAATCTTCCTGAATATAAGAGAGACTAGGCTGACTGACCTAACTGACTTATGATATTGACTCATTAACTCACTGTATTATTCATTCGTATGTATAATGGGGGTGTTTCTCAGGGCTAAGAGGCTTCTATGATCTTCCATATGAAACATGAGTAACTACAAGAACTGCAGTCACTTGCCTCCTTTAATTCCCATCTGTGTTACTTCCTTTTTTTAGATGATAGAGGCCAACAGAAGAAATTATTTCTAAATACTGGCAGAAAGGTCATTACATTTGATCCTGTTACAACCTTTAGAGAGAGACTGTTGAAAAGATTCTGTCTCAGGATTTGGTAAAATTCTGGACATAATTGAGACGCTGAATTTCTAGGGAGTGCTAAAATGCTTTGGAACTACTAAGACTAATTTGTTTTCTTCTTCTTTTTTTTTTTTTTTTTTTTTTTTTTTTACTTCTAGATTTGAATATCAAGTCATCGGGGTCTGGCTGTGTAAAAGTCCAAAATATTCAGTGTGATAATTGCAAAATTGAAACTGAACAGGGAACCAGCATCTTACAGTCTGTTAAGGTATAAGCATTTTCCTAGTTCTGTTTCAGTTAAAAAACAAACAAACCTTGAACTATGAACTCTAGAATCAAACTAAAGAGATGATTCTTTTTTTCAGAATATTATAATTTATTCATCAGTCAGAAATTCTTTGCAAACATTATGCCTTGACAGCTGTTCTCTTTTGAAAGTACAGATGTTGTAGCAGCTTTGAAGGTTTTACCTCATATTTCTTTGAGATCTCATTTCAAAGCATACAGTGAAATTCAAGAGTATATATTCTTAGTATTCTGAGATCTTTATGAAGTTATTTAGTCTTCACAGTTGTTTCTTCTGTTCATTAAAAAGTAAGGAATAGCCTTTTTATGACTAGAAATGTGCTTAAAATATTAGGTTACTTTAATCATGTTTTTGATGTACCAGGTAGCTGTTTTACTTAGAGACTAATAACTATGTATGCAAAACAGATGATTCATCTTGTTTTATAATTAACATTTTTATATTTTATTTTCTTAAAATTAGATCAATCTTAGCTGTAAATGATTTGCAATAAATCTCTTATATGTAACTTGTCATTATTCCTAGTAATGTTATATTCTAGCACTTGCATAATCAAAATGCAATACCTTTGCAAACTTTGATTGAACGTAATTTTATTGAAGTGAACTCAGTCATCTTTGCTTTACAATTATAAAACTTTTTCCGTTTTAGATCTAAAACAATTTTTAGGATGATTAATTTGATGAATTTTTATTTTTACATCAGTTTTTTATCCATCTTTATTTGCATATGAACTATTTTAAATAAATTTAGTTGTACAAACATAAAGAATTAAGAATATCTGCCAGGTGTTGTGGTGCATGCCTATAGTCCCAGCAGCGCATGAGGCTGAGGCAAGAGGATCACAAGTTCAAAGCCAGCCATAGCAACTTAGTGAGGCCCTAAGCAACTCAGGGAGACTCTGTCTCTAAATAAAATTTTTAAAAAGGGGCTGGAGATATGGCTCACTGGTTAATCTCTGGTACCAAAAATAAAATACAGGATTAAGAAACAGACTGGTAGACCAAAGGTAAAGAATAGAGGACACAGAGACTAACCCAAATAATGACAGTTATCTTATATTAGACAAAGGCACCAAAAACATACATTGGAGAAAAGATAGCCTCTTCAACAAAAGATGCTGGGAAAACAGGAAATCCATATGCAACAAAAAGAAATTAAACCCCTATCTCTCACCTTGCACAAAACTCAACTCAAAGTGGATCAGGACCTAGGAATTCAACCAGAGACCCTGTGTTTAATAGAAGAAAAAGTAGGCCCAAATCTCCACCATGTCAGTTTAGGCCCCAACTTATTTAACAAGACTCTTATAGGGCAAGAATTAAAATTTTAAAAAATCAATAAATGGGATGGATTTAAACTAAAAAGCTTCTTCTCAGTAAAAGAATCAGTGAGGGGAATAGAAAGCCCACATCTTAAAGCAAATTTTTACCACTTGCACATTAGATAGAGTACTAATCTTTAGAGTATATAAAAAACTGAAAAACTTAATGCCAATAAAACAAATAACCCAATCAATAAATGGGCTATGGAAATGAACAGACACTTTTCAGAAGGTGATATACAATCAATCAACAAATATGTGAAAAAAAAATGTTCAACATCTCTAGCAATTAGAGAAATGCAAATCAAAAATACTCTTAAGATTTTATCTCACTCCAGTCAGAATGGCAGCTATTAAGAATACAAACAACAGTAAGTGTTGGTGAGGATATGGGGAAAAAGGCACATTCATACATTGCTGGTGGGACTGCAAATTGTTGCAGCCAATATGGAACATAGTATGGAGATTCCTTGGAAATCTGGGAATGTAACTATCATTTGACCCAGCTATACCACTCCTTGGTCTATACCCAAAGGATCTAAAACCCAAAGGACCACATCAATGTTTATAGCAGCACAATTCACAAAAGCTAAACTGTGGATCCAGCCTAGATGCCAGTCAGTAGATGAATGGATAAAGAAGATGTGGTATATATATACAATGAAATATTACTCAGTAATAAAAGAGAATAAAACATGGCATTTGCATGTAAATGGATGGCACTGGAGAATATAATGCTAAGTAAAGTTAGCCAATCCAAAAAAACAAAATGCGGAATGTTTTCTCATATATAAGGATGCTGACTCATAGTGAGGTTGGGAGGGAGATAATAGGAGGATTAGATGAACTCTAAGTAGGGCAAAGGAGTGAAAGGCGAAGGGAGGGGGCATGGAGGTAGAAAAAATGGTGGAATGAGATGGACATCATTACCCTATGTACACATATGAATTACTTTGTATACAACCAGAGATATGAGAAATTGTGCTTTATATGTGTAATATGAATTGTAATGCATTCATCTGTCATATATAACAAATTAGAATAAAAAATAAATTTAAAAAAAAGAATATCTTGACATAAAAAGATTGCACAATGAAATCCTCATCTTGAATGGATTAACTGGCTGAGAATACCACAGTTTCTTTTGTCCTTAGAAATATATTGTTCACTCATTGATACTTAAGTTTTGGAGAACTAAGGTAGAATACCATACTCTGAAGACTCAGAGTTTGGGATTTCCAATTTCATGATGGAAATTAGAATCTAGAATGCTGCTATCTTTATTTTTGCTGTCATCATTTTTTTCATCTAGTAAGTTTGAAAGATCTTTCTCAGCTTTTCTTTTTGCCATTTTGTGTAAAAAAAAGTTGGTTTCTCCACCTTGTCACTAGGGACATTTTGTGTCAAATAATTTTTTCTTTATGATAGGTTGTTTAGCACCACCCTAGTCTCTACCTTCTAAATGTCAGAAGAATGCTCTTTGGTTAAGATAAAGAAAACATCTCCATATGTTCCCAAATGTCCCCAGGGAGAGAAAATCACCGCCAGTTGAAAAACATTCCATCATTCTTTTGGTTTCCTATTCTTTTAGTTTGTCTGTCTGTCTGTCTCTCTCTAGCATAGTTAGGAATAATCAATGAATAATAATTAAATAATTCCCAGGAGAATGAAATTTTACAAGACATATTAAAAATAAGAACACTATTATCCTAAACATATTTTAGATTTATAGAGTTCATTGGATTATTACAGTAATTTCAAGATAGAGTGAGTTTAATTCTATTTTTAAAAAATAAATAAATTTTCTGTTTGTTTTTTGAAAGACTTCTAAGAAAGAATAAAAATCATGAAATATCAATTCTTATAAATAAAATGACTGAAAAAAGAAACTCTAAAACTGGGCTTTTGGATGCTCTGGTGTACTAAGGGTTAAGGGAATTGTTCTTGAGATCTTAGGATTTAACTGACTTAAATTCACAAAGCAGAACACTTTGGTAAAATACCTGGTTTAAGTTTTTAATATGGTACAATATTATTACCTTAATTAGTGGCCACCTTTTAATATAAATTTCTTTCACTTATTTTAAGGTCTTTTTTGTGTATGTGTGGTGCTAGGGATTGAACTCAGAGCCTTGAGCATGCGAGGCAAGCACTCTCCCAACTGAATTATATCCCAAGCCCCAGTTTAAGGTCTTCTGTAGAGTTCTGTGTAATAAAATTTATAGCAATAATAATTACTGCTAATGAGTCCTTATTATGTACCAACTAAACCTCTGTTTGATCCTTGAAGCATCTCTATTTTCTCAAGAAACTAGGAGGCATTAAATGACTAAGGAACTCACTTGAGTTTATATAGCTAAAAAATTTGATCTCGAATCTTCCTGGTCTTTAAACTCATGCTTTTTCTACCCTGTCAAAAAACATATGGCAATACCATATTTATTCAGCATCCTTAGAGATTAGGTAAATAAATTTTTAGGCAACTGACCCTTAACTCATTGAATGCCACACATTTGCTTAAAAAAGAGTGTAATAATTTTGTTTTCTAAATAATTTATGATTTAAATATCTATTTGTCTATTTTTACTACCTGGTTTTATTTATCTTTAAAATTTTTCACATTTTGAGGTAATTAGATGAGCTTTAAATTTTAACAGTAGCTCAGTGTTTTTTGAGCCCCTTTGACCTCTTAGAAAATCTCAAGATTGTCCTCTTAGAAAAAAATACACATGTATATGAAATTTTTCTTATTTCATAAATTTCATAAACTCTTGAAATCCATGGAAGCTCAACAGTAGTTTCCTTTTTGAAAATCCATTTTGCCTGATGATGCATATATTAAATTTAATTCGATTTTAGACTCATGTCTCTTTGGGCATAAAGTTAACCATACTATCTATGATACAAATACTTTGGAGAATGATTCATTCTGCTCTTTTCACTCAATATTTTAAAAATTGATTTCTAGGCTCTTTTACCTGAAGTTGAACTATTTCCCCCCAGAAGCTCCATGGTTGTTTTGAAATTTTGTGTCCTTACCGTTTAGACATTTTTCTGCAGTGGCTGGTCATAATGGTGATTTTGCTTTTGTTGTTTTTTTCAGCTTTGACATTTACCTATTTTTGCTCTCTTTATAATTGTAGCAGAACTGAAGGCATGTAGCAGTTCAGGGAAAGTAAATTACTCTAAAAATTAGACCAAACATCTATTAGCTCAGGTACAATTTTAATTTCTCACTTGTGCCCAGGTGTGTTGAGGGGGGGGGCGGGGCTCTCTTCCATTCAATGATTCTATTATCTTCTGGCTCCACCATCTCTCTCTGAGGCTTGTAAACTGCACTTATCTGTTGGAAGGGGATGAGGACAGAGAAGGCACACCTATTCTTCTAAAAACACCGGCCTAGAAATGACCACATAGCTTTTCTGCTTACGTTCTGTTGGCAAAAACTTAGCAACACCTAAGAGAAAAGGGGAGCTGAAAAATGGTCTTACCATGGGTCCAGCAACACTGTTTTTACTTTGGGGGCAGATTTGGGTAGACTAATGGTAGTGTTTGCCACAGTTGCCAAGTGTGAATCAAGGTACACACAATTTTTGTGTGCATGTGCGCGAGAGAGAGAGAGAGAGAGAGAGAGAGAGAGAGAGAGAGAGAGAGAGAGAGAGAGAGAGAGAACTGGCTTGTGACTGTTTTATTTATGCTTGGAGGCATTTTTCACTCTGTTTCAGTTTCTGCTGTGTGTTATTCTGTAAGGTTTAACAATAGCCTGTTACCATAGGTGTAATCTGCCCTTCTCCAGAGTATGGGCTTTGGAATCATATAGAGCTGGATTCTAATTTAAGTTAGATTTTATCACCCTGATAAAGTTTATGTTTGTTTGTTTCCCAGCACTGGGGATCAAACACAGAGCCTTGTAAATGCAGAGCCTTGCATGTATTAGGAAAGTGCTCTCCTCCTGAGCTACACCCCCAGCCCTTATTTTGGAACAGGGACTAGTTGAGTTGCCCAGGCTGGCCTTAAACTTGCAATCCTTCTGCCTCAGCCTCCCCAGTAGCTGGGATTACAGGTGTTTACCACCATTCTTGTCTCATGCTTTCTGAGTTTTGATTTTCTTCCCCTATAGAATGGGAAAAATACCCATCTCTCTTATTGTGAGGATCAAATGATAAAGTTCATATAAAATAAGTAAAGTTGTTTGGAGTACTGAAAAACTGACAAGTAAGTGATAACTATTAATAATAATGATGAATATTAACAATGATTAATGTGGTCATCTTCATCCTCAGTGGTGTTTTGCTTGCTGGTCACAGTGATCTTCAACTCTCAAACCCTTCTTCAGTGAGGCTACTGGAATATTCACATCTCTTCTTTTTCCCTATGAGTACAGGTGTTTAATCTCTTTAACAGCAGCTAACATTTTCTTCCAGTTGATATTATGATTCCAAACAATTAATTTCTATTTCATTTCTTTTTTTGTGTGCCTACATTTTTTTATTGGTTGTTCACAACATTACAAAGCTCTTGACATATCATATTTCATACATTAGATTGAAGTGGGTTATGAACTCCCAATTTTTACCCCAAATGCAGATTGCAGAATCACATCGGTTACACATCCACAATTTTACATAATGCCCTATTAGTAACTGTTGTAATCTGCTACCTTTCCTATCCCCTACTATCCCCCCTCCCCTTCCCTCACATCTTCTCTCTCTACCTCTATTTCATTTCTTGATTCTTTTCCTTCTTTATTATTAATAAAAAAGAAATGTTTCATTAGTGTAAGTCAAACATTCTTTTTCTGTATATGTATTTTTATATTTATCTTTCAGGGTCAAAAACTACATGTTAAAACAAAAGGAGGCAGAGTGATCTCTCTGGGAACAGTTTATGGAAATATAGATATTCATGCATCAAATAAAAGTGTAAGATTGAAATTTTCTTTTTTTCACAATTGCAATATTGCTTCCAGTTAGCTCACAAAATGGGTAGCTTCTGTAGGATTTGTGCTGTAGGATTTTTAATGCATTTTGTTTCAAATTCAAGTTTGGAATTGAGGTGATTAAATATTATGCAATTTAAAAATTAGTTTGTGATTTAATACTTTTGACAGTTATTTAATTCCTTATTTGTAATCAGTAAAAACTTAAATACTTACACTTTAATTCTGAAGAGATTTTTAATTGATGATCATTGATTAAAATATTTCATACTATTATTATCTGGATTGGGTTTTTATTGTTTGCTTGTGTGTGGTACTTTCCAAGACCTGTTTACTTTGCCATTAGACCAACTGAAGGACAAGGTTTGAAACTCAGTTTTCTTCATTATTTTCCACAAGATGGCATCATAAGATAGCTTTACTGCCTTCCAAAGTTTTTTGTTTTGTTTTGTTTTTGTAGGAAGATTGTATTTTAAATTAATTTTCTTATTGTTTCCTGTGATTTAGTATTAAGAGCTCAGGTCTAATTTTGGAAGTATAAGTTGTCACCTTTTAAAAATATGACTAGCAATGTTTTAAATTTTTTTGAAAACCCTTGGTCTTGGGCTGGGATTGTGGCTTAGTGGTGGAGCTTGCTTAGCACAGGTGAGGCACTGGGTTTGATCCTCAGCACCACATAAAAATAAATAAATAGCTGAATGTTTTCTCTGAGATAAGGAGGCTGATTCATAGTGGGGTTGGGAGGGGGAACACAGGAATATTAGAGGAACTCTAGATAGGACAAAGGGGAGGGAGAGGAAGGGAGTGGGCAAGGGGTATAAAAAAGATTGTGGAATGAGATGGACATCATTACCCAAAGCACATGTATGAAGACACGAATGTTGTGAATATACTTTGTATACAATCAGAGATATGAAAAATTGTGTTATATATGTGTAATATGAATTGTAATGCATTCTACTGTTATATATAACAAATTAGAATAAAACATTTAAAAATAAACAAATGAAACATTGGGCTAATAATGAGATGTTTAAAAAACAACAACTTTGATCTCCTCTTGTTTCTGACTTTTATAATTTGCAATGATTTTTTGTTATAAATTTGCTAAATTTCATAGCCAGCTTTATTCCTCCACAGTTGGAGGGGAGTAATCGTGAGCATATCTTGTAGGGTGAGTGTTGCTGGTGTAATTAAACAAAGTGGAGTATGGGACTCTTTCTGTTGTTATTTTCAATCACCTTTCTCTTATGACTTGTGGGAGCCTGTTTAAATCCAAATATTTGAGTGTACCCAACTGCCTTTTAAATTAAACTAGGAAAGTTCTGAAAGATGTTGTGACCCTTGATGACAGCCCTTTTTAGATGGCATTTAGTCAGATTTCTGTGGTTTAGATATGAAAGAGGGAAATTGGACAACTTTGCAGCTCCTTCAAGTTCATTCCTTTAATTGATGGCTAATGTTACTTGAAATGATATTTGAGCTACCAGAATATTATATATTTATATTCAAATAAAAGTATCAGTGTTTAAATCAGCTTTCATTTATTTGCTATTTTGAATAATTTGGCCATTCATTAGTTAGTTATTTGCTCCAACTTTCATGGTTTATTGAATATTTATTTATTCCTACTTCCTATTACACTATTTTGCTTCCTGCCTGATTGAATTTTGTAGACCCAAAGATTCAGTCTAGATTTTCTTCTATTTTTATTATTATATATAGTGTTAATTTATAAAGCATATTCCTAAGCCTGCAGTTTTTTTAAAAGAACATATAAAGTAAATAAGAAAGTCATTAACTTTTAATATACAACTTTCATACATATGTGTCTTAGAAATTTGAAAAGCAGCATAGGGAATTGGTTAAGAGCACAAAATTGAGAACCAAATATTTGAATCCTGGTCCAGCCTCTGTATCCTTAGACAAGTGTCTAATGGATTTAATTCAGTAGGTTGTTATGAGGATTGAGTTAATCCAGGTAGAGTACTTAATGTCTAACACATAGCTAACTCTAACATAATGCTTGCCATGTTAGTGATAAAGTGAAGGAATTGCAAGAACGATTACTTGACCAGTCCTAGATCTATCACTTTATTTCTCTGAGCCTACGTTTTATTATTCAGAAAACAGGGATGGTAGTATTTGCTTTTCATACTCAATAAGATTGTGAAAGTTAAATGAGCTTTATAAACAGTAGCATCATTACATTGCCATGTCAAAATTATATCATTTATTTTAGTGTCCTAAATTTAGTTTTATAATAACTGAGAATATAAAAATCAATTTCAGCTGACTATTGGGTGAGTTGGTGACATAGTTGTCAGTTTCCTTTCTTTCTTAGTCTGAGCTACAAAGCCACAGTACTTCCTTATAATTTATTTGTAATAACTATACAGTATATATGTATACTGTCTAATCTTAGAAAAAAATTTCCTTCTTATATAGAAAAGAAAATTAATTTATAACAATACTTTTGTCAGGAAGGCATTGGTTTTTGGATCTGCTGTCGATTCTGTTTTTAAATAGGTATTTTCATTAAAAAGCAAACTCAACAGTGTAGAAAACCTATTTGTGACACTTCTTTCCATTAACATTTCATGACTGTAAGTCAGAGCCTCAGTATTTTACTGTAAATTGTGCTGTCCTAAATTTAATTGTTCTAGTTAGTATCTGATATAGTGCATTATATATGGCCCTCTGGGAATTTTGAATTTCTTTACAATTTTGTGGAATGATTTGTTAATATTGAAAGGGGAGTTGTTATGGTTTCACTTGCTTTCATAGGGCAGAATATTTTTTCTAGCTTCCTAGAAAGTATAATATTTAGTGTCTACTGAACAATATAAATCTTTGGCATTTTCCAGTTACTTTCAAGGAGTCTTGAAAGCTTTATTTGGTTATTGAGAAAGTCTAAATCATAAGTGTTCCTTTGCAAATTTAATTAAGTTTCAAATTTCTTTTCAATATTTATCTCTTGGTGTTTTCTAAAATGGCCTCACTATCTATAAAAAGCCAGACTTTTTGCCTGCTTTATGGAAATAATTGGAGAATTTTATTCATAAAGCAATTTTTCAAATAGAGCATTTGAGCATAAAGTACCTTTCATGAAGAGACTTTAAAGGATAATATTTTTCAGGAGTTTTATACCTTTACTATAAGACCAAGGAAGTCAAAAATTTGTATTCTCACAAATTTAGTTATAGGTAAAATATCTATCTATCTTTGACAGACTTATTGAAATTAAATTTAAAGAAAAATTCCTCTCAATCCATAATTAGATAAAAAGAAACTGTAGTATTTAAGAAGCAAGTAGGGCTATATTGTATACTTAATAACTGCCCTTTAGAAAAGAAAGTTATATACTTTAAATCCAGAAGAGAAAGTAATTCTAATTTATCTCCCGTAACACCTCTACATACTTTTCTTTCTCTTTTTGCACTTTTACTTTTCTTCTTATTTTCCCAGAGGGCCATATATAATGCACTGTATCAGATACTAACTAGAACAATTAAATTTAGGACAGCACAATTTATAGTAAAATTTCTCGAAACTCCATTTTTGTTAGATAACATTTTAAAGTCTTAATTTTGAAGGACTCATTTAGGATTGATGGCACTAATGCCTATGTATAGAAAACAGTGATGCTATTTCTTTCAACACCCCAGTGTATGGCTTGAAGTTGTCCCTGGGCAAAACTGAGAAACCTTTCTGGTGATTCAGTTTTTATGTCAACAGTTTTACATTAACACTTACATTTGTTTAAAATACATAAAGATGATTTGGAATCCTTAACTAGATAGCTTCATTTTACGTTGTAAGCGATATTTGAGACACAGATACATACTGAATTTTGATAGGGAAATTTAAGGACAAATATATAATTTCTCCCATGTTGTACACTGGAAATGTAAAGTGGAAAAGTTGTAGAAATATTAGTGTATTCACTACATTAACACATTAAAGGAGAGAAATCATGATAACTTTTAGAATCATGCTTAAATATGATTATAGTATATGCTAAAATTCAGACTCTGTTTATGATTTGATAAAAGTATCTAAGAGACATCCATAACAAATGTGCTCAATGCTGAAATGCAATAAGCTTTTACTCTGAGAACAAGAATAAGATAAAGGTGGCTGCTTACATCTTTTAGCTGTAGAAGTGGAGACCAGAGCCAGGTGGTAAGGCAAGAAAAAGAGTGAAAAAGAAGGGGGAAAAGTATTAATATAAGGATTGGAAATAAAGCTATTACTTGTAGATAACCTAATTATGCATCTAGAAGTTTTTTTAAAAATATGTTTTAGTTGTCAATAGCCTTTATTTTATATTTTTATATGTGGTGCTGAGAATTGAACCCAGTGCCTCACATGTGCTAGGCAAGCACTGTACCACTGAACTATGACCTCAGCCCAAGTTTTTTTTCTTAATACAGATAAATTACTAGAATTAGTGAGTTTATTGTGGTTGCTGGATTAAGGTCAAATACAAAAGTCAATTAAGATAAAATGAAATATTAAAATGTACCTTGTATAGTAACACTTAAATGAAGGAACTGTGGAATGAAATTGACCAAATTATGCTATATACATGTATGAAGGTACTACAGTTAATTTCACCTTTATGGATAGCTATAAAACACAGTTTTTTAAAAAACAATAAATAGAGGGAAGACCCAAAGATATAGAGGAAGTGGAACAGAGGGAGAGTGGAAGAAAAAGAAAGAGGAAGTACTGGGAGACTGAGTGGAGAAAATTATATTCTATGCATGTGTGATTGTCAAAATGAATCCCAATATTATATATGACTATAATGCACTAACAAAAACATTTTAAAACTGTAATAGGACTAAGTATAACAAAAGAAGAAGAACTTTACATAGAAAATATAAAACATAATTAAAAGAAAAATGAAAGAAGATCTATATAAGTAGAGGGATATATAGTGGGTCTATTCCACATTCAACATAGAGTGCATGTTTCAATCTTGTAATTAGATTTAAGAAATCAGAATTAAGTTATTGTGAAGCAGGTAGTAACTTTTTATGTAGTTGCCTACTAATTTCATATGTATCATTTTAGTTTTTTCCAGTTTTTGTTTTATGATGAACTGATGAGTCTTTCTCTTAATAGACTGTGACCATAGATAAACTGCAGGGAAGTTCTGTTAATATATCTACTGAAGATGGTTTGCTGAAAGCCAAGTATCTTTATACAGAATCATCATTTCTGTCTTCTGCTGCTGGGGATATTGCATTAGGAAGTGTTCATGGTAAGCTGACAAAGATCTACCATATATTAGACTTTACACATAGCTTAAATTTTAAGAGATGACTGTCTGTAGTTGAAGAAGGTTAGGAAACTAGCCTTCTAATTAATTGCAGACTAGCCATCTCTTAAAAATACAATGACTCATAACCTAGCTTAATGTTATTTGACAAGAAATTGAAGATTATGCTGTTATATATGAAGCTACTCTGATTTTAACGAATAGCCTTATAACAGAAAATGAGTAACAAAGATATGTATGCAGATGAAATATAAGCAGTATTAAATAAAGATGAGTTTTGAGTGATTCCTTTTAGTTATAATTGGAAAGCTAAAAGTTAATGAAACATTTGGGTAGAATCTAATTATAGGAACCCAGAGATACTGATTTTGGTTAAATGCTTTATGGGCATTTTTACTGATATCAAGTCCTCTCAGCATCCCCCCATTTCCAGTTTTCTTTGAGTATACTCTCTCAATTTCTAAAACATATCTCTACAGACAAGCACTATTATTTAGTCAACATTCGTATTATTGAAAGAAAATGATAGAATGTAATGGTGAAGTAATATGGCAAAGGATATGATAGTGTTCAGTGTCACTCAGCTTGCCTTAAATTTCCACAGAGCAGAAGATTTAAATCCAGATGTGTTTTCCAAAATATATACAGGTAGAATTAAGAATCATTTATCTGGGACTGGGGTTGTGACTCAGAGGTAGCATATGTGAGGCACTGAGTTGGATCCTTAGCACGACATAAAAATTTAAAAAAAAATAAAGATATTGTGTTCATCTATGACTAAAAAATTTAATAAAGAATCATTTATCTCAGAGTACAATATATACATATTTGCTAAATGCCTTTTGGGCCATATTCCAGGAAGTTTAGACTTGAACCTTTTTTTTAATTCTAATTTGTTATATATGACAATAGAATGTATTAGAGTACATATTACACATATAGAGCACAATTTTTCATATCTCTGGTTGTACACAAAGTAGAGTCACACCATTTATGTCCTCATACATGTACTTAGGGTAATGATGTCCATGTCATTCCACCATCTTCCTATCTCCATGCCCCCTCCCTTCTCCTTCCAACCCTTTGCCCTATCTAGAGTAGGCTTGAACCTTTTCTATATATGGTCTACTAATTTCACTTCTGTACTTAAACTGAATATTGGTAGCTATATACTCTGGATAACTCCCCAGATTTTAATGAGTATAAGTTATTAGGTGGTAATAGAAACCATGGTTAGGGCTAGTCATGCTGTGAGGCAAACAGATAAGTAGTATTTTCAATTTTAGAAAATAAAACTAAAAGAAGAGTATTTGTATACTTGGAATAAATCTTGAGCCTTGAGCCTAATTTAAATGACTAAGCCTCAACCATTCTTGCAAGGTTAAAATATTATTTTAGCCCAAAATAGCTTGAGCACAAGTGGAGCCTTAGTCAGATAAAACAAATGGTTTTGTTTACTTACTCATTTACTTTTTATTCAGTTGCACATTAGGTAGTTCTGGCAATTTGTAGCTTCATATTTTTAAAATAACTTATGTAAGCATTACATTTATTTGTTAATTATAATTAAAACACTGCACCTAATATACTGAGTAGCTTTTAGTGAAAAACAATTCCTTATCAAGTCAGATGTTGTTTAACATCCAAAGGAAAAACTGTTCTATTCTCAGCACTGCTTTATACCACGTTTACATTAAATGCACTGATATGTGATTTCTTGCTTTAAGATAGATGAAAACTGAAATTGGGGTGGTTTATCACTGAGTACATGATAATAAAACAGATATACTTTTTTGAGGCAGTCTTCATAGTACTCTAGGTCTGTTGATCACAACATAGCTGATATGTAAACATTTTTAGGGATAAGAGATCATTCTTTGGCTTTTGTAAAGCCTTTTAATATTTACTGATCTTTACTATTAAGTCAAATACATTTCCATATTGTGGTTTAAATCTAGGTCTTCTTTTGGACTGTTGTTTCAGGTTGGGGTTCCTTGAAAGCACTCTGAGATGGGAATTAGAGTATAGCACATTTACTAGGGAGAGCTCTTGAAACCAATACCTGTAAAGGAAGGGACCCCAATTTTCATGAGAGAAGTTGGACCGTAACACAGTTTCAACAATCCTAAGAGGGAGCTCTGACGTTGGGGTAGTCCCTTAGAGTTTTCTGAAGTTGGAATTAGGGGAACTGGACTTCTATATCCCCAGTCATTAGATACTAGCTGCCCTGGGAAGGGGTATGATCTTGGGCCAAGATGGCTCTTTTTGGCTGAGGCAGTTCCCAGAGAGTACTGACAGTAAGGGATATCTGCCTACAATACTCTCAACAGCTAGGAAAATAAGCCTTCAGGTATGAAGGGGGCTCTGCATAATCAATCACAGCCTTTGCTATAGTCAAATCTGTTTCTTCATTCAGCACATTTATTGACCATCTACTGTGTGCTGAATTTCCTTGCACCAGGGATGGAAAATAGAGCAAGAGATGGTACCTGAGTCCTCAAAGAACTCAGAGTCTAGTGGAAGGATTGAATGTCCTTTTTTGTTTTCTCAGTTACTACTGTCCCCATTGGGATACTACCTCCCATCTTATCTCCAATTGCCATCCATTGTCACCCTGCCTCAATGAAAAGCAATCATTTAACTGTTTCTCATAGCTCTTTTGTAATACTAGTGTAGAAGTGAGCAGGAGTAAGGGAAGGAAAAATGTGATCCAGTTGCAATCTTAGAAAAGCTTCCATGTTGTTCATCCTTGCTTTCTCCATCTAGTCCTTAGTCTTCACTCTATTTTTTATTTTTTCAGTATATACAAGTCATTTCTTAGTCATACCCTAGGCCTCAATTATTTTTTAAATCATCCTTCAGACAAGTCTAAATTTATTGCTCTCTCTTCCATGTCACCTCACTTTTCATTCTTATCCGAGGGATTCTATGAAAATACTATTTAAGTTTGGAATTCAGGGGTGGGATGCATACAGAGGAGCATGCAAGGTTTTTAGTCCCTTGTCTTGGTAGGTGAGAAGATTTAGAGGCATGGCTGGTGAAAGTAAATCCCTGTGTTCCAGCTTTTGGGTTTTGGTTGGGGATGAGGGATGTCTTCCAAGGTTCTTCTCAAGCTGGAACTCTGAATATATATTTCAGTGAGTTCTTTGTTTTAATTGCTGGTGGTTAAAGAACACAAATTAGGCAAAAAATTTGGCTATATTTAAATAAGCTGGCATGGAATCTTAAAACTTGTTTTTACAGAATATATTGCCACTTCTAAACATCTTGATAAGCAGAAAACAAACCGAGAATATATATATTTAAAGACCTGCCTGTTCAGGATTTATTATTTTTTTAAAAAATTTTTAGTTATAAATGGACACAATATTTTTATTTTGTTTATTTATTCTTATGTGGTGCTAAGGATTGAACCCAATGCCTCACATGTGCTAGGCAAGCGCTCCGCCACTGAGCCACAACCCCATCCCCCAGGATATAGTTTTGTTGGCTTCTTTTACTAAGGACAGTTTAAACTGATTTTTTTCCAGGTTGAGCTGAAAAAAATCCAACATATAGATTTTTCAAAAGCCATTTTTATACAAATATGATGCAATAACTATCATCTTGGTAGATCTTATTTGCTAGATAATTTTGGAGCCCTTGTGCCAGTAGGTGGATGGGTGGTTGTTTGAAAGCAAACATGTAATGAGTGCTATCAGCCAGCCTTGCTCATTTAATGGATGATTGGCTGTTTACATATGAGAAAAACAAACTTAGAAATGTCTAATTATTTACCCTTTGCTATAAATTAATTAGTAAAATAGCAAAGATTAGATCCTAGCTTCTTGACTTTCTAAGGAGATGTTCTTAAATAGTATTCAAACAAATGTAGGCACATGGCCATGGTGAACTTTTTGATTGCACTAAAAATTCCATCATCACTTCAAGGGCTTCCTACCTCCAGAGACATTTCCTCTAGGCAGACACATAGGAGCACTGGTACTGCTTCCACTGTGTTCTATGTTGTAATCTCCTTGAGATTTAGGACCATTTATTATTACCTTATGACATTTGAAAATGTGATTGATTGCTCCTTAGTGTTCAATCTGAGTTCCATGGTGGCATTCAGGAACTAGACTCCTTCCATAAAAAATAAATAAATAAATAAATAAATAAAAATAAAAAAATAAAATCCTATTATCTTAATTGCATGACTTCTAAGGCTTCCATGAGAGGAGGAAAGCATAAAATGTATTTATCTATTTATCATCAGCATTTTCCTCATTACTGGGCTCCCTCTAATCTCTCAGCACAATTGGATGTTGATTTGCCATCAATATTTGTCCTCAGCTCTGCCCCTTTGAGACACTCAGAGACTCAGGTCCTTCCCTACAGGTGATGTTGCCATCTTTAGTTTGTGGCTTGTCACAGCCGGTCTGGCTAGGCAAAAGGGGGGGGGGGCAAATAACTTGTCTACTGGATTGTAGGACAACAGAGCTATTTATACATTTTGCACAGCTTATCTTAATTAGCATAAACTAGATACATCAGTCAACCAATAAGGAATCTCCACACTTAATGGCTCACTTTTGTTACTTCTCAAACCACTCTCTGGCATTTTGCCAGGCACCATCCAGACTTGTTTACGAACTCTAACATTCCCCTGGCAAAATACCAGGTGTTATTTTGACTTGTTTACAGACCTTAACAGTGGCTGCCAAGGCTTCCATGAAGAGAGTGCATAGTAGAATCATGCAGGAAGTTTCAGGAACCAGGCCTACAAGTGCATACATTTCTTCTGCCCATATGCCTTTAGAAAGAATGTTTTCAAATGGCTTTATCTACCTGCAGAGGCTGAGTGAGATATGTAATGAGATATGTAATGGATTCAAAGGAAGGAAGGAGAGAAGCACACAAAACTTAATGGGCATAGGCATGTCTGTCTTACCTTATAGGTAAATTGCTCTTTTGCAAATGTCTACACATTCCTTTTCTTTCTACCTCTTTGATGTGGTATTCTCTAGGATTTCATATGTGTCCATTGTTTTTTCTTAACATTTGGCATCAGATGCATTTTTGAGTCTTAACTGTGCTTGCACATTGATGATTCTAATCTTTATTTCTAGCCCTTTCAACTTAAATAGCCATCTGTCTGATGGGCATAGCCCTTTGGATTTTCACAGGCATCTCAAACTCAACATTCTCAATTTCTCTTTTCCTCCTTTTCCTGCCTCCCAACCTCATCCATAAAGTGTCCTCCTTCTTTATTTCCATATGCGGGTTTTGATATCACCATGCACCTAAATCCCCATGCTATAAATTTGTGTCATCCTAAATTCCTCTCTCTCACCTCCTGTATCTAATCAATCACTAATTTTTAGGCAGGTTTTATGACTCATCTAAATATTTCTTCAATCTCTCCCATGCTTTTTCTTCTGATTTCTACTCAGAATTCTGTCTCACATTCTTCTAGTCTCTTGCTTTGAATCTAGCAGTAATTTTGCCTCCAATCTTACCTTCTTCAAATCCATTCTCCTCAGTGTAGCTACAGTAGTTCACTAGAAATACACATTAAACATGTCATTCTCTTACTCAAACCCTTTCCTACTGTCTTCAGTGATTGCTGACTTCCCTTTTCTGACCCTATGCCTTACCTTCCAGAATTAGTCTCACTTTTTCTTGTACCATTCTTAAGCTGTTTTATACTTGATCAGAGCCTTCTATCATAGTGATCATGGTCATGCTGTTTTTATATTCTGCCCAAAATGCTTTCCAAGCTTTTTAAAAAATCTCATTAAGTAATCTTTTAGTAACCCCAGCTGAAGCATCCTCACCTTATCTGTGGCTTTTCATTGACCTGTAAATTTTTGCCTAATTATAAATTCCTCAAGATCAAGGATCATGTTTTATTTGTCCTCATATTCTTGGCATTTAGCATTGTGGCTTGCAGATAGTAAGGCTTCCTTAAGTCTCCCCACTCCCTGTCCTCCCAACCCCCAAAAGATTTTAACCTTTAAAGATATTGATTGCTCTGTTTGGATTGTTAAGAGCATATGTGCTGTTTTAACCATGATCATATTTTTTTAATTGAAAAAAATATACCATTGTCATTATTTTTAAATTGATTGTTCCTTATCGCCCCCCACCACCATCATGCTAGAATTAAGGGTTGCAAGGTAAGAAAAAAAATACATATTTTCTCAAATACTAGGATTTGTGGAAAAGTTGTATAACTTGAGAGTAGTGTAAACATACATAGCTATTACAGGTAATGTAGTATCTTCTTTATTGGAAAGAAGGTTTTACTTCTCTCAGGTGATTTATTATTTCCTGTTATTGGAGGTGAAATAGGTGTCACTAAAATATAGGAAATTTTGCCAATAATACCAATTTTTTATTTATATACTTCTAAATAGTCTCATCTCACAAAATATTTGAGACAAGAGTTCATTTTGTGTATTCTGATGACTTTGGAATATTTATTTAGGGTAAAGACTTTCTAAATATTTGGTATGATTTACAAATATATTTATTTATTTACTGCTTTATTTAGTATTCACGAAATATTTTGGAATATTCTTTTTAAACTTTATTTACAAATATTCCTTATTTCTTTTTATATATTTTTAGTTGTAAATGGACATAATGACTTTATCTTGTTTATTTATACTTTATATGGTATTGAGGATCGAACCCAATGCTTCACATGTGCTAAGCAAGCACTCTACCACTAAGTCACAACATTTGTGCTAGTTACTTAGTCTTCTGTAGCAAATAACCCTAAAATATAGCTATTGAAAACAACAAACATGTCTTATTGGGTGGGTCAGGAATTTTGATGGGACTTAGCTGGGTCCTTTACCTCAAGATCTCTCACAAGTTTGTAATCAAGTCATCAGCTAGGGCTCTGAGCTCATTTGAATGTTCAACCAGGGGAGAATCTGCTTCTGTGCTTGTTCATGTGGTTGTTGGCAGGATTCGGTTCAGATCCTATTGGTTAGGGGACCCTTTGATTTCCTTGCCAAGTGGACTTCTTCCATAGGGCAGAGACAACATGATACCTGGCTTCAATAAGATCAAGAGAGGACTAGAAAAATAAAAGCCAGAATCTTCTTGTTACCTAAACTTGGAAGTGACATCCCATCACTTTTTCCCTATTCTCTTTTTTAAAAAGCAAATCAGTAAGTTCCAGCCTACATGTATAATCTTGGTGATTATACAAGAGCATGAATATCAGAGGCAGGGATTAGAAGTCATCTTAAAAGTATGATCTTTGCCCACTTTTGCTGTGATGATGAATCTATATTTATTAGGTTTGAATATTGGAAGAGAGTATACACACCAATGAAGTAATATTTACTTAACACATTTAACAAGATCTTCACAGCCTTATAACTTACTGAGTCTTAAATATTTTATGAACTTATGCATACAAATCATGTTTTAATTCCTAAACAAAGGTAACCCTGTTCATATACTCACATGAAGTATGATAGAATGTTGGAAATCTGGAAAGATTTTTGCAGTCAGGTATATGAAACAAGTGCCCTTTTTGGTTTTTCCCCCAGATATCAACAAGTGTTTGTATTAACAAAACATAAGCAATGAAATACTTTAAATTAATTCTGAGACAAGATTATTTATTTTTTTATGTAGTTTTGGAATTATATTAGAAGAGGTAATATTATTGCTTACATCTTAAGGGAATTGAGCTTCTTACTCCAGAAGTACTTATACGTACACATGTATGAAGAAAAATCCTGCTATTTTTGGTATTAGAGGAAAGTGGCTAGGAATGGTTGTGGTATTCTATACTTATCCTGGAAAATGTATTTTCATTGAAAGAAAGAAGGCTTTGAAGCTTTTTTTTTGTTAGTTATGCCTCCATGTATTCATTATTCCTATCCCAAACCACTTCAAATCTTGGCCTCAAAACTACTTTAATCTAACAAACAGATGTGGCAACTGGCCTGATAAATAAAATTATTATTTCCATATGATATTTTAGTGTTACTTGTTTAGGATGAAAATTTGTAGTGAACACATTTGAGTAATCTTTTATTTATAGGCTTTAGAAATACAATTTTTCTCCATGTTGTCAGGAAGTGTGGTGGTTTGTTTTATAGTTATTCTATAAAAGCTTAAGGGTTGAGAGTGGGGGCAAAAGATTTGCATAGATGCTTAAAGCTAGATATTTCAGAACTATAACTAAATCTGGATCTGCAATATTAAGGAAAATTGCCAATAAAAATAACAGTGTTATCAAATAGCATTGTAGATTTTTCACTATGTTTTAGGATTCCATATAACATAATTTTTTTCTAGATTGTCCCTAATAAAATTCTTTTTTTTTTCTCTTTTAGGTAATATAATAATACAAAGTGAGACGGGTAACATCACCATAGGTATGTTCTGAGATGCTAGTTGATAAATTTTGCCTGCTTCTTAAACTAGATATATTTTTCATGCTTTATTAAAGTCTACAGTTTAGCTCATGAACCTGACATAATCCTTATATGTAAGTCAAATACAGGCAAACCTAGCATGACCTTGTCCACTCAAAGAGAATTACTTAAACTTGGTATTAAGTAATATAATACAAATTCTTTGAGTTCTTCAAATATCTACATTAAGTCTTAAAAGAAAGATAAATTACATAGCTGGGCCCCACATTGTGTTATCATTGGAAGACAACCCTGAGTGTGCTGTTAACTAATTAGACAACATGTGTTTATGAGTGCCTGCCATGTGTCAGGAATTTTTTTAGGTATTGGTATGTATGTTGGTTAACAAGACACAGTCTCTGTGCCAGATACCATACCTTTTCTGAGTGGTAGGAAGAAAGATAATAAGTATGTAAATAACAAAAGGTAGTTTCAGATCAGGATAAGTGCAATAAATAAGTAAAAAACCATAATGGGATAGAGATTACTTGGGGGAAAAGAAAGCTACTTCACTTGGACAATCAGGAAGAGTTTGGGGAAGGGTTGTTTTAGCTAAGGCCACAATAATGGAAAAGAGTCTTGTAATATTCTAGATACAGAACACCCACCTAGAGGAGTAGCAAGTGAAAGCCTCAAAAATGGAATGAATTTATCATTTTTGAGGTGTAGAGGAAGGACTTGTGGGACAGAGGAAGGAGATGAAGTAAGAAAGACTAGACCTTAGAACATTGTAGACTTGGTAAGAGTCAGGAGTTCATTACAGAAGTTCATTACAGGAGTTACAACAGGCTGTTAGTACAGGACTGATCTAATTTACACTTAAAAGGGGCCACCTAGGGGTTGGGGCTGGGGCTCATTAACATGCATGAGGCACTGGGATCCATCCTCAGCACCTCATAAAAATAAAATAAAGATGTGTCCACCAAAAACTAAAAAATATATATATATATTTTTTAAATACCTAGCTGGTATTTTATAATGTACCAGAGTGGGTAGAAGTGAAAGCAGACCACTAAAATACAGTTTGTTGATCCATTCTCCTGGTGGGTGGACAGTTGGGCTGTTTTTAACTTTTGGCAACTGTCAATAAAGCTGCAGTGAACATTCTCACAGTAGTCATTTTATGGAGAGAGAGATCCTTCTACTTAGGTAAATACTTAGGAATGGAATGGATGGGTTGAATAGTTCTGTATTTGTTTAATTTTGTGATTTGATAAATAACTTTGAACATTTTCCAAAGTTCCATTTTACAGTCTTATGAAAAGTACTTGGGCTGGGCATGGTGGCGCATACCTGTAATCCTAGCAGCTTGGGAGGCTGAGACTGGAGGATCATGAGTTCAAAACTAGCCTCTGCAACAGCAAGGCACTAAGCAACTCAGTGGGACCCTGTCTCTAAATAAAATACAAATAGGGCTGGGGGTGTGGCTCAGTGGTCAAGTACCCTTGAGTTCAATCCCCGGTACCTCTGACCAAAAAAAAAAAAGTGCATGAGAAGTCTAGTTGCTCCATATCCTCACCAACATTTATTATTGTCAATATTTAAAATTGTACCCATTCTGAGGTACATATAGTGGTATTAATATCTCTGGTATTAATTTCATATCCCTAATGACTTTTGATGATCAGCACTTTTGCAGACACTGTTAGTCATTAGTGTATCTTCCTCTGTGAAGTTTTTATTCATATCTCTTTGCTTATTTGCCTTATTATTGAGTTGTAGTAGTTCTTTATAAATGCCAAGTACAACTACTGTTTTGTTAATATTTTCTCTTAGTTTGTGACTTGCCTGTTCATTTTCTCTCTCTTTTTAAACTTCATTTATTTAGTTTTGGTATTGGGGTTTGAACCCAGGGTGCTACATCTCCAGCCCTTTTCATTTTTGACACAGAGTCTTGCTAAGTTACCCAGGTTGGTCTTGAATTTACAATTCTCCTGTATCAGTATCCCCAAGTTTTGGGGATTACAGACCTGCACCACTGTGACCAGATTTTCCTTCTTTCCCTCCTTCCTTTCTTCCTGCTTTCTTTCCTTCTTCCCTCCCTTCCTTCTTTTCTCTTCCTCTTTCCCTTCCCTTCCCTTCTCTTCCCTTCTGTACAGGGGACTGAACCCAGGGGTACTTAACCACTAAGCCAAAAACCAAGCCCTTTTTATTTTATTTTTTTGAGACAGGTCTCACTAAGTTGCTGAGGCTGGCTTTGAACCTGCTTTCCTCCTGTTTCAGTCTCCTGAGAGGCTTAATTTTCTTAATGGTATATTTTGATGAGAATATTTGAATTTTAATGAAGTCTAATTTACCAGTTATTTTTATTCATTCTAAGAAATCTTTGTCTACCTTCAAGTGTGAAAATATTCTCCTGTTTTCTTATAGCAGCTTTAAATTTATTGCTTTTACCTTGATACATTTATAATTTTTGTGTTTAATGTGAGTTAGGAGTCAAGGTTTTTTTTTTTTTTTTTTTTTCCTACACAGGTAGCTAGATGTTACATCACCATTTGTTGAAAAAAACTTCCTTTCTCGGCATTTTGGTCTAAAATCAAAAGACTGTATATGTGTGGACCTATCCCTGATCTCTCATTCCTAAGTCATTGATTTATTTGTTGAGCCCTAGGCTGGTGCTACAATACCTTATTACTGTAGCTTTAAAATAGGAAGTCTCTAAATCAGGTAATTGAAGTCTTTCAAACTTGTTATTTGGATGTTGTAGATTCTATGATTTTCCAGTCAGTTTCTACAAAAAAAAAAAAATTCCAATTCTGATTATGATTGTACTAAATCACTGAATCTGTAGATCAATTTGGAGAGAACTGATCCTCATTAACATTGAGTCTTCCCATTCATGAAAATGGTATAACTCTCCATTTATTTATATATTCTTTAGTTTTTCTCAACATTGTTTTATAACTTTTAGTGCAGAGATCTAGCACACCTTTTGTTAAATTTGTTTTTGATATTATTATAAATAGAATTTAAACATTTTTTGTTTTTCTAATCATCTGCTGCTAGTATATGAAAATACAACTGATTTTTAATACATGGACCTTGTACCTTGTGACCTTGCTAACTAAATTCACCCATTAAGTGGCTTTCTAGAATATAGATTACTTTTCTATATAAACAATCATTTTGCCTATAAACAAAAATAGTTGTATCTCTTTCTTTCCAATATGTAATTCTTTTATTTCTTTTTCTTGCCCTATCAGGTTAGCTAGGACCTTCTAGTACAATGTTGAATAGTGGTAGTGAGAGTTGGATTCTTTGTTCTTGTTGTGAATTCTTATCCCCATATTGGGGGAAAGCATTCAATATTTTATTATTAATTGTCAGTTATAGACTTTTAAAAAATTTTACCAGATTTTAAGAAAGTTATCCTTTATTTATTCCCAGTATAAGATTATTTTCCCTTTCCTTTATCATGAATGGGTGTTGAATTTTGTCAAATAAATTTTTTTCATATTTATTAAAGGGATCATGTGTTTTTTCTCCTTTAGTCTATTTATATGACTTAATACACTGATTTTTTTCTAAAAAAAATCTGTGCACATTATTTAGTGCCTATGTTACAATCACTGAGCTAACCACATTACAATGTAATTTTAAAAAATATTTTGTAGTTGTTAATGGACTTTTATTTTATTTATTTGTTTGTGGTGCTGAGAATCAAACCCAGTGCCTGATGCATACTAGGCAAAGTACGCTCCCACTGAACCACAACCCCAGCCCCCTACAATATAGTTTTTTAAAAACTTTTTTCATCTTTAGTGAGGCATAACTGACCAATCTGTGTATATTTAAAATATATAATGTGATGATTTGATACATATATATAGTTAAATGATTACCACAATCAAATTGTTAACATCTGTCACCTCACTCAGTTACCATTTGTGTGTGTGTGTGTGTGTGTGTGTGTGTGTGTGTGTGTGTGGTGAGTTGATAGTAAATAATGGTGGGGTAGGAGTGCTAATAGAATCGCTTGTGAAACTTTACTTTTTCTGCTCTGTATTCCCTCTTTTCTGACAATGAAAGGCATTGTCAGAAGCTATATAATGATAATCATGTCTTTAAAAAAAAAGCAAACGAGTGTGTGTGTGTGTGTGTGTATTTTATGTGCCTCTCATTATTCAGCCTCCTATTTGCTCCCTTCCTGATATAGAATACCTGGAGAGGAGGTCAATTTAAAAAACTTAAATTTTGCCTTTATAACCCCTATGTCCTGTATATGAAGGTTGTTTCTTGTCCTTACAATTAGTATAGATTTCTAAATGTATGAATCAGGTTGCAGAAATCAGGAGCTATATTTTGGTTGTTCTTTTATATTTTGAAACTTCATGTAAAATTATAAAAATTAAGAACTCTTTGAACATGCTGGAGGAATTTTGAGAGAGTTCTTCAGTAAGCTGAAGGAAAATAGCAAAATTTAGTGCTTTAGCCTTTCAAGCATAATTGCTATTTTTCTTCTGTTAATAAAATATATATTACAAATATCTGTTTCTTTGGTATGTCTAATGTTAAGCTGGTAGTTGACATCAGTATGTTCCTTTTGTATATATAATTTTCCAGGAAAACTTGATGGTCTCTGTCAGACCCACAAGGTCTTTGCCCAGAATTATAATAATAGATACTTTTCTGTGGGAGGCTACTTTTTCCTACTAGTGTCCAAACTAGCAATTTCTGTTCACTGCATATTTCCCTTAAGGTTTTCTCCAAGATCTATACAATTTCTCCACTGTATGAATCTCAAAAGAAATTCTGTAGAGTAAACCTTAATTTTACTCTTAATAATTAATTTTAATTACAGAGATTTGTATTGTAAACATGAGAAATAGAGGTTATTTTTCTGTGTAATCTTTAAATGTCATTTTTGCTTTCTCTTTTCAAAACACATCTAGAGTTTTAATTTATTTTTTGACAGCCTCCAGGGGGGTAAGCCATTATCAGAATTCAAGACTGATAACATAAAGATATAATTACTTTGTGACTTAGGATGTAATTTAGTTGTTTATTTCTCATTTGGGATAAAGGGGAAAGATGGAAAAGTGTTGTTTTTGAACCATATAAAAATCTTGTGGCTCCCCTCCCCCCCACCACAAAGGAAGCAAGAAAAATCAAACTAATGCTTGTTCAGCTTAGGATAATATACACATTGTGTAGTCTACTTTTTTGAAAAAAAAACATAATGTATTTTTACTTGGCTTCTTTTATGATGCAGTAAGAGTAAAATCTCTTACTGGAGTTTCTGTTGGTATTATCAAAGCAGTGAGATATGCACCTTTGTCTGGCTACTTTATGTTCTTGATTTAGCAGTTCATTTTGTAATGTTAGTGTTTACTTTTGACACTTGAAAACTTAATAAATTGTGTCTGATAAAGGGCAATTTTTGGTATAACAAATGGAGACAAATTATAATAAATGATCTTGGTGCTAGATTTTGAACAGTTTATTCCAAAGTTACTATTTTTGTTTGGAGTCACTTAAAATTTTATAAAGAAAAACCTTGACTCCTTTGTGGATACACAAATGTTTTCTCTCCACATATTATAAAAAGTGCATTTTTCAACAAAATTTTCCCCACACTCCCTACTTTGCTTCAACTTTAAAGTAATAAGAATTCCTGATGAAATGTGCTTTTAAAATAGGCTTATCCAAAAAGAATATGCTATGGCCTTCTCAGGACAGTCAAATAGAATATTAAGGCTCAGTTGCTGCGGGAAAAGAGGAGGAAGGAGGAGCCAATTGCATTGATTGAAGTCTTCAGGTCATTCTTTTACTTCATCTCTGACTCTGTCAGTTTCCCTTGAACTAAAATATTGGCTGATTGAAAATGGAGTCATTGACAACACAGAGAAATTTGAGTATGGAGATTCCTTAGAAAACTCAGAATGGAACCACCATTTGACCCAGCTATTCCACTCCTCTATCTATTCGCAAAGTACTTAAAATCAGTATACTATAGTGATGCACCCACATCAATATTTATAGCAGCTCATTTCACAATAGCTAAACTGTGGAAGCAACCTAGATGCCTTCCAATAAATGAATGGATAAAGAAACTATGGTATAGATACACAATGGAATATTACTCAGCATTAAAAGAGAATAAAATTATGGCATTTGCAAGTAATTGAATGGAGTTGGAGATGCTTCATGCTAAGCAAAGTAAGCCAATCCCCAAAAAACAAAGGCCGAATGTTTTCTCTGGTAAGTGGATGCTGATCCATCATGGGGGAGGAGGGCATGGGAAGAATGGAGGAACTTTGGATTGGGCAAAGGGGAGGGTGGAGTGGAGAGGGGGCATGGGGCAGGAAAGATGGTGGAATGAGATGGACATCATTACCCTAGGTACATGTATGATTGCACAAATGGTGCGACTCTATCGTGTACAACCAGAGAAATGAAAAGTTGTACCCCATTTGTGTACAATGAATCGAAATGCATTCTGCTGTCATGTAAAACTAATTAGAAAAAATTTTTTTAAAAAAGGATTATCAGAACTAGCTTATATATTATTTTCTTACTCTGACTTAAAGATATATATTAAATTCCAGAAACTTGGAAAGAAATATTAGATAAAAATAAGCTTTACTCTTTAGTGATTCCCCCATACCTTTGTGTCACGCTAAGAAATGTAGTAAACCTTATGTGTCATAAGCTTTTTTTTTTTTTTTCTCGGTACTAGACATTGAACTCAGGTACTCAACCACTGAGCCACATCCCGAGCCATATTTTGTATTTTATTTAGAGATAGGGTCTCACTGAGTTGCTTAGGGCCTTACTCAAGTTGTTGAGGCTGTCTTTGAACTTGCAATCCTCCTGCCTCAAACCTTCCATGCCAGGCATGTCATACGTTTTTACTATTAGGAGCACTTTTTAGTACCACAGATTTGATAAAAGGGGAATTGTGAGAGATTTTGATTTCATTTACTTTATTACTGCTTACATGTGACTGTATTTGAAGTAGAATTCTTGGCAAATTCTGCAAGTTTACTAAATATATCAATATGATAATAAATGAAATAGACTGATGATGTTTAATGATCTTGGCTGTCAAGGATCCATTGTTTACATACTGTCCTTCCTCTGAGAAGTTATAGAGTAAATGTCTAGAGATAAATTATTGAGGTTACTATAGATATATTTTGTTATTGTCTGGATATAGACTTCTGGATTTCTGATACTATTTACATTTTTATGAAAATGATGGCATTGTTATGAGGAAAATATAAAATCTTATAAGATTCTTAACTTCTAACATCAAAGCAGTCTTTTATTTCAAGTTTATACCATTTACTGTAAACTTATTATTATAACAATAATTACACTTACAGTTTTTTCTTCTTCAGACTCATCCTCAGGATGTCTAAGAGCCTCAACTCATCAGGGTGCCATCGATGTCTATGTCAGCCAGCTGGGGAAGGTGGAATTGAAATCTCACAAAGGTTAGCCAACTGGATCATTTATATTGATATGTGGTATAAATTTAGGTTTTATGGAACACTGAGGAAACTGATGGTCATATTACCTATATTGGCAGAGTGACTTCAGGAAACTTTCTTCTGATAGCATCTTAAATGCCTGTCTTCTAGCTCTCAAAACCAATAATCTTTATAAATCTGGGGACAGACGACCATGAAGATTGTCTTTCCTACTTGTAGGACAAAATATGTAATATTTTGACTGTCTATTGTAGAATTTTTAGTGTTACTGTGTGGGTCTTTCCATTTTTTTGTGGGGGAAGGTACTGGGGCCCTATTTTGTATTTTATTTAGAGTCAGGGTCTCACTGAGCTGCTCAATGCCTTGCTTTTTTGCTGAGGCTGGCTTTGAACTCGTGATCCTCCTGCCTCAGCCTCCCAAGATGTTGGAATTACACTTTGTTTAGAATATTCTTTGGAGGGAAAATGCTCTCATATATTGAAAACTTTCCTACCAGCCTGTATAAAGACCCACTCAGGCTATCACTATAGAGAAACAGTTTGCAAAGTGTGACCCTGAAATAAATCTTACCAGGAAGATCCTGTAAAGCCATTAAATGAGTTTCTTCAAGTATCAAGATATATGATGTTCCTCTCTACATAATTTAATTTCTTATACCTATAAGTCACTTATTTTAAGAGATCAAGTTTTTCATTAAAATGGTATACTTTTTATTCACATGAAAGCTAATTATCATTTTATGTGTGTCTGTGTGCACACGCATACACATATGCACAGTGACAAATGACTTGTGTGGACATGGTGACAAGTGGCTCGGCAACAGGGGCCAAAGTGGCCTTGGTACAGAAAAAGTTAAGAGCTATATTAAAAAATTAAAGTCTAGAAGCTCTTGTATATTGATCTGAACAGGACTAATGGTATAACAAGAAAAGTATTTCTCTAGAGACTGTTTTCTTGCTATTAGTAATATCTCTGCCAGGTTTGTTCAAGTTTTCATTCAACTAGGCTTTCTTGTCAGAGTATCAGAGTAGAGCTACCAAACACAGAAGTTCAAAACTGAAGTTATTTCTGACACAGAGATGTGATTTCTCACACCATATTATACTTATTTTAAAGAAATATATAATTTTTTAAAAATAGTATATTATCATGTCCTCACTAAACTATGAAAAGCTTCAATAATACTATTGGAGTAAATTGTATACCTCATTAGTAATATAATTTTACTCTCTTATGAAGACCCAAAGGGGGAAAAATCATAGCATTAATGTAACTAGTAACATAGTAAAAAACAATATGTGTAATAGAAATTGTAATGCATTCCACTATTGTGTATTTTAAAAAATAAAATCAATAAAAAAACAAATAAAGTTTTAAATAATCTGTTTGTATGTGAAGGTTATTTCTTCTTTTGTGTGGTGGTCAAAAAAGGGAAACAAAACAAAAACTTTGGAACTTTTGGAGATTATTAATCTTCATCTATTTAAAATAGTTCTTAGTATTAGTTAGAATGTCATTCCAGCAACCTATTGAAATAGCATATGGTGTTGCAAAATTTGATTTGGATTACAATTTTGTGTTTTCTCCTGGGACCACATTACTGGAAGAAACTTAAAGAAAGATAAATGGAAACAAAGATTTATATCTTCTGATTTCTTTTTTTTTTTATTGTTGGTCGTTCAAAACATTACATAGTTCTTAATACATCATATTTCACAGTTTGATTCAAGCGGGTTATGAACTCCCAACTTTACCCCGTATACAGATTGCTGTATCACATCAGTTACCCTTGTCTTTCTAAATGGAAGGCGATCCTCAGGGTTATACAAAATGATATATAAGAGGAAAGGAGGGGTAAGACAAGATAATATAAATGGAAGAAACGATTTACAGTAGAAGGGGTAGAGAGAGAAAAGGGGAGGGGAGGGGAGGGGAGGGGGGATAGTAGAGAATAGGACAGACAGCAGAATACATCAGACACTAGAAAGGCAATATGTCAATCTTCTGATTTCTTAATTCTCATTATACTTGGGAACAGTAACTTTTTAGAGTAATGGAAAGTTTGTCAGGATCTGTTGATTAATGGTTAGTAAAGACATCTGGAATCCATTCCAAGCTCTGCCACTGACTTGCTGAAGGGTTCAGAGCCAGCCATTTGAATCTCTTAGGTCTTCATCATTTTGCCATATGAAAAGTTAAAATGTTACAAATGCTTGTTTTCTCTCTCCTTGTGAAAGTGAATATGGTGAAATTTATTCAGAAAGGCAGTTTGAGTTTGGGCTTGGGAGTCAGCCCTGCATCTGAGGACTGATTTTTCTGCCAAACATGTTGTTCTTTGGAAAATCATTCATTTTTATGTAGTATGCTTCAGTAAGTGGCATTTATTAGTATGAGTTTGCTTTTGAATTTTTAAGAGGATAGTATTGATGTCAGTAACCATGCAGAAGTTTACAAGGTAAAAAGAGGTTGATGTCCTAACAAGAGCTCTCCTTTCTGAAAAAGATAGTGTTAAAGATGGGAACACTGGAACACATTCAAGGCCTTAGAAGACATTCACAAACAGAGACAGTTTTGGTAGTGGTGGTTTCTGTTTTCAAATTTGTGAAGGGAGATGGGGATAGAACAGTTTGCTTAAACATTTGATAGACTTAAGATCATGTTCATGTAAAAACAGAAAAGAGTGCTCTTATGTTCTTAAAATTATTGTATTTGATATATTTAGAGGCATAAAATCCTAGAAAAAAAGTATTTAAATTCATGATCTTCTACTTCTAAAAGTAGGTTTTGGGGGAAAAAATAGGTTTGAGGCCCTGGCACCGTGGTACATGCCTATAATGCCAGCAACTGAGGAGGCTGAGGCAGGAGGGTCTCAAGTTCAAAGCCAGCCTCAGCAACTTAGAGATGTCCTAAGCATTTCAAATAAAATAATAATAAAAAGGGCTGGGGATGTTGCTCAGTGGTTTAAGCACCCTGGGTTCAATCCACATCCCTTCCCCCAAAATAGGTTTGATAGGAAAACATATCATCTTCTATTCATCCTCAAATTTCCCAGGTTTGTTTTTGTTTTGTTTCTTAAGTCGTCAAATTTGTTGTCATGAGAAATCTCCTGTCAGTGTTTATATTTGAACCCCAGAAAGCAACTTATTTTTTAATAAACTAGATATAGTGATATGTTTAGTTCCTTAGTTTTTCTGAGGAATAAATATGAGAGTTTATCAGCCAAACTTCCAGCTCTAGTTAGGAAGACTGAGGAGATACCAGTTACTTTAGGCAATGCAAGCAGATGTTAAGTAGACTAGAAGGAAAACTCAGACCCATAAATAAATACATGCTAAAAGGAGTCTTTTCAGCATTCACAATGCATGTCATTTGACAGTTCACAGAGATGGGGTTAATGCTTTATGGTAGAGGACTCTTTATTTGATGAGAAACAAGAGAAAGAAACTTATACAGGAGTGTACTGGTAAATTTGTACTGCAACCTACATAATTGTTTTGAAAAATGACTCCACGCTATAACAGAGTTTTTGTTCTTGTTGTTGTTGTTGTTGTTGTTTTTACTCCTTTAGGAGTTTGAATTATCAGATTGTACTGAATATAGAGTATCAGGCCTCAGATACTCAAAAGTCTGTGATCCACTAAAATAAAAAAAAATAATAATAATAATAATAATCCCTTTCCTTTTGTTGTTATTTTCCCTTCACACAGTAGGCACAGTGTTAGTTTCTGGTTGTGGTTTCGTAATACGATAAAGTTGCAGTGTGTAAAATATCAGTGGTTGAAAGATGGGCTTTGTAGTCATTTAACTGGATATGTGTTCCAACACTAGAACATGAGACCTTGAGCAAGTTTTCATCTGTAAAATTGTGAATATAATAGTACCTCATAAATTTCATGTGGATAGTAAGTGGCTGGCTCTTAGGATTTACTATTAGTTAAGCATTTACTATCTATAAGCTACATGTGTAGCAATCCACTCACTTTTCTAATATCAGATGAATTGGGTAGGGCTATTGGCAAAAGAAGAACCAATAGTTTATAATGTTCCTAATGCCTCATACTCTTGACAGAATTACTATGAATGCCTTGAGAGTAAGGGAACTTTGATCTCTTGGGAGTAAAGACAAGGCACTGCTATTTGAATAAATGTGCTGAGGAGTAAAAACATAGTATAAGGAGCAATCTTAACCTTGTTCAATCTAATTTATAATGGATTCTGGTACTTAGATTGGTTTGGACTAATAAGCTCTCCGTTAAATTTATCACAGGTTCTATTATTGTGAAGGTACCATCTTCTCTTCAAGCTCATTTACAATTATCAGGGAAAGAAATTGATGTGAACCCAGAAATCTGTGTTCAGGAAATGGCTGAAGCTCATAAGGATGATGGTGTAATAATTACTGGTAAGGAGGATGCATTTTACCATGTGTGAATACTCATTTTCCATACATAAGTAGAAATGTGGTATAGTTAGCCACAATTTTATTCTTTTCCATTGTCACATTCTAATGTTGAACACCTTTTTCTTTCTGTTGCTTATCAGTAACATGATGAAGATATTTTGTTGAAAAGAACCTATTAATCATTTAGGAACACTCATTAGTCCTGTCCTTGGATAAAATGGATTTAAAATTTTTTATGGAACATCTGTTTTCTAATTCTTAAATTTGAAAATCAATTAAAAACATATATTATAATGTAAGACTTAAAGCTAACTTTGCTTGATTCAAGAAAAATAATTTGGTTTGTTATGCATATTATAAATTTCCTCTTTTAATATAGCAAATTATTAATCCTATAAATGTAAATAATTTTGTATATTTTTCATTATAGTCAGCTGCACTAATGGCCAATGCAATTTTTAAAATGTTTGTTGTATAAATGGATACAAAAATTTATGATGGTGAAATTTTATTTTAAATTCTATCAGAATGGCATCAAAAAGGATTTGAAGTTTAACTGTGTGCATGGGCATACCCTATATGCTTAACCATGAGGTACTAACTAGAAAAACGAATGTTTGTATATGTGCTGAGGTGGGTACTGTCTTCATAAGATAAAGTTTCAGTTTTAAATGTTCATTTTATATGTCATGAAAGTTAACAAGTAGTTTTGTTAAAATAATAAAATATTAAGAAAAGCATAAAAGGATAAAAATAATACCTGTGTATTTTCAGATCTGACTCAATGACTAATGAACAGGCTCTTAGTTACATAAAGAAAATTTAATGAGAATCTGAATGTATCAAACATGCTAAGAATCAACGTCCTGTGATCTAATTTCTTGAGTTTAATTAAAAGCCATTAGTTACCTATTGTTGGTCCCAGTCATCTAAATCAATAATACAAATTTAAGTAACAGTTCTCTGAATCATAATTAAATTATTTATATATGTAAGCATGCTTGAATCATAAGCTATTTTGTCATATTTTGTTATTACTCATAAAATCATATACCTTTATGATTTTTAAATTTAATTTAAACCCCTGTTCTTATGAATCAATCATTACTTCTATGCACATATTTCATCCAAATCGATATCTATAGACCTGCTCTCTTTATTATTATTGTCCATTTCCATTTTGATAAACTGTACCACCTCAAATATTATATATATATATATATATATATATATATATAATATAATATGAAATATTTCTTACTTCTCCATACTGGGGATTGAACCCAAGGATGCTTTACCACTAAGTTACACCCTCAGCCCTTTTTTGGGGAGACAGAATCTTGCTGAGTTGCCTAGACTGTCCTTGAACTTATGTCCATCTGCCTCAGTCTTTCAAGTAGCTGGAATTACAGGCTACATGTGGCTTAATATATATATTTTGGAATAAAAATTATCTTTCCCTAACCTAACTCCTCCTTCTCCTCTCTCCTCTGTTTTTAAAAATTTGGTTTGTCACTCAACACATGTTTAGGGAGTCTGGCACTGCTGGACAGCAGGAGTGCAAAGTAACACAAACCAGTGCACACAATACACTGGAATAAGATGTTATGAGAAAGCTATGTATGTAGTATTGTTAGAGTATAAGGTGGTACATCTAAATTAGACAAGTGTGTGAGTTTGAGCAAATGAGAAGTCAAATATAGCCAGAGTATAGGAGAGTAAAAGGAAAAATGGCTAAATGGAGAGTTTGGGAGAGATCTGCTCCCATAGGACCAACTTAGATTTTAGCATCTCAAAGTCATTGAAAGATTTTAACATAGTCACATAGAGTCATATAATCACATTTGTGTATTAGAAAGATCACTCTGAACCATGGGGGATGGAGGGAGATTGGAAAGAACCATGGTGGATGAAGGAAAAGCTAATTAGCAGATTTCTGTAGTAATTCAGGAAAAAGAATATAGTAGTCTGGTCTTTTCAGAGCTATCTTATACTCAGTAAACAGACTTTCAACAAATTTGGTTGAAGGACAAGGTTAATGAATGCAATGAGAAGATACGTACTTACTTCAATGGTTATTACGAAGCTGCTTGGCTTATTTAGATGTTTGTATGTGTTATTTGTTATGTCTTACACTCTGATCTCTATTTACATCAGGAAGAACCAAATTGCAGAAGAAATTTTATTTCCTGCTCATGGTGCAAAAATCTAGATACTGACCTACAGAGTCCACTATGGGATTGGGCACCAGATAGATCTGTGTGTTGTCTCTGATACTAGATAAATCCATTAGAGTGTCAGTGTACAGAGACCCTAGGTAAAGACAGCAGCATTCTGTCTTACAGCGAGCTGTATAGTGACTGGATTTAAAACAAACTCTCCTAGTTTGATTCTTAAAGGTCACAGGCCTTATTTATCAAGTAGATGAAATACTTTTAAGAGACTTTGAAAGTGAAATACTTCAAGAGACATTGGATTGTTTCTTCTTTTTTTTTTCTCCTCCTCTTCCCCCTCCCCCTCCCCCTCCCCCTCCCCCCTCCTCCTCCTCCTCCTTTTCCAGTCTGAAACCTAATTTTAGAAATAATGGGCAGCTTCAGTGTACATTGTTACTATAAGCCCCTGAGCTCAGCTCATCTAGGTCTTCCTCATAGATCCTACAAGGCAGAGAAACAGAAATATTACCCTTCTTGCTAGGAAGTCTGGACTTAATCTGTAGCATAAGTATGATTTCTGCAAGAAGCCATGCCAGTAAAAATTAGTCCTTCAGGCTCAAGCTCCCCAAAGGGTTTTTGTATATCAACCCTATAATTGTTTTTATTTCCTGCTTCATGGTTTGGCTTGCCATTGCTGTCACTGATACAAACTCTCAGTTGTATGATTCTTACTGTCATTTACAAGTATTGTGTGCTATTCTGAGATCAAAAGAAAGCCCAAGACTATGGGTTATGCACAGTATGTGTTCTCTGTGGAGCATTCTCTTTACAGAGCTTGGATTCTAAGTTTTATGTTCTACTCTAAGTGGTAAATTCAACATGTTGTAATGACTGAGGTAACACATTTCTAATAAGAAGTTGACTTCTCTTCTGGGTTTTAGACTTGGTACATCAACTTAGATATGAAACCTGTGATTTATCAAGCCATCTCCAAGCTCAGAAATGCATGTGGTACCAAGTCCTTTTGTTTTAAAACTTCAAGATTTAGATATTTAAAAAGTATTAGAGGTTAGGTGTATTGCATAGGATTGGTGTTTGTCACCATATAGTAGGGAAGTTGGCACTACTGGATTTATTTCATTTTAGTCAAATGGAAATGTAAAGCATATAAAAGATAACATTCATTTGAAATAAAAATAAACTACAACCAGAGATATGAAAAATTGTGCTCTCTTTATATAATAAGAATTGTAATGTATTCTGCTGTCATATATAAATTTAAAAATTACATAAAAATAAACACCAAGTTAGGTTAGTTCTCAGTTTATCTTTAGGCCAGAGGGTTATATGTACAATAGTATTATAATTTACAATGGAAAACTTGTTCATAGGTTGGGAAAGAGGTTGAAATGAGATATGGCCCATTGGATGCTACTTTGTGTGTATGGGTGTGTGTTCTAATTAGTTATACTGATGCTACTTTTAAAATCTAGGGACCATGTTTTCTCTTCCAATGGGAGGAAATGCAGTCTTTTAATAGAAATTTTAGAAATAACTTTTTTTTTTTTTAAAGAACACACTGAAGTTGTGGTTTTCTCCAAGCTTATCACACATTTGTCAGTTATATGTGCGTTAGGACCACATAAAGGAAATTCACTAACAGAATGAAGAATGCTCTTAAGTTGACATCTGTCTGCTAAAGAATACTTTGACATGGAGTTACTGTGGGATCTGTCTTCTGATCATTTATGTTTTTATTATGCTGTTTTTGTTTTCCAACCCTCTTGTTAGGTGTAAGATCCTGGGAGTATCATGTGTAATCAGACATTAACTTTGTTAAAGTTAAAAAAAAATCAGGTTTTGTTTCCATTCATCTGCAGATTTTATCTGAAAAGGCCAGATGGTAAATGTGTTAGACTTGGAAGGTCATACGTGCTCTCTGTTGTACATTCTTTTTTTTGTTTGTTTTTTTAATAGCCCTTCAAAAATGTAAAAGCCATTCTTAGCTTTCAGGCCATATAAATTCAGTCCTGTGGCCAGATTTGGCCTATGGACTATAGTGTGCTAACCCCTAGACATCAAAGTGTTCACCTCAGTCTTAGAGCACTGTGACGAATTATTTGTGATGACTGTAGGGTTTTTTAAAATTATATGTTTTACCATAGCCAAATCCTTATCCTGAGTGAACTCTTCCCACTTATGAAGATTTATGCACATAAAACTTCTGTGTACATAAACATAATTTATGGGTCAAAAACTTTGATCATGGAAGATTTAAGAAACAAGGCAACCATAGGAGATACATAATGGCAAATAAATACACAAAAGATGTTCAACATCTCTAGTCATTAGGGAAATGCATATTAAAACTGGAATAAAGTGCTATTACATATTTGCTGGAATGGCTAAATACAAAATACTGATAATACCAAGCACTGGGAAAGATGCAGAGAAATTGGATCTTTCCTTACATTGCCGATAGAAATGTAAAATGATACATTTACTCTAGAATTGAGAGTGTCAGTATCTTAAAAAACTGAATAGGACCCAGCAGTCATATTCCTGGATATTTTTCCTGGAGAAATGGAACTTAAGTTCCCAACTTTATTTGTAATAGCCCCAAACTGAAAATAACACAAATACCCTTTTATAGGTGAATGGATATACAAAATGGTATGTCCATATAAAGTAATATAACTCCAGGAAAAAGGACCAATCAATCTATTGGATACACAATTTGAATGGAACAAGGTACTGTTTAGAGTGAAAAAAGTCAATTTTAAAATGTTAAGATTGTTCTATTGGTATAACATTCTGAAAAGACAAAATTTACAGACAAGTGGTTGC